GTTCCGTTCCGAACCGTCCGCCGGCGGAGCGCGCCGTGTTTGGCCGTGTCTGAGATTGGCGTTGGCCGCGGCGCCTTGTCGCTTGTTTCTTGTTTCCCTCATCACGCCGACGAGCCGTCGACGACGGCGGTGCCGCGCGGCGCGCGCCCCTTGGCATCTGGCGTCCTGGCGGCCGGCGGCGGCAGCAGAAGGCCCGACTTGCCGAAGGGAATTATCCTTGATTTGATCCGGCACCGATCCAAAGCACAGCCAGCCAAGCGTCAGCGTCAGCGCGAGCACGACGGCGGGCTGGGCAGCCAGGCGCTCGATGACCCCAACACACATTTACTTTTTTATGCCAGTAGCTCGCGGCCCTTCCCCCGCCCCCTTCCCCGCGCATTCTTCGCGACCGCGCACTTATAAGACCCCCGCGCCCTCGCCGTGACCCTGGCCGGGCCGATAAATAAGATGGAGGCAAAAATGCAATATCGCCGCCCTCGCCGCAGCCAATTTGGGAGCTAATGATGTATACCGCGCCGCACTCTCGTCAATAATAGCTCACTCAACGCGGGGCTCGAATTGAGGGGGGAGGCGGGGGGCAGAGGCGTGGCGTGGCGTGCAGGGCGCGCCGACGCTTCGCTTCACGCATGGCCGAGTAAGCCAGAGCGCCGGTGCCCCAGAGCATGTAGCCGCGTGGCCGCGTGGCCGCGCTGGTCCAGGTCGTGGCGGTGCTGTAGCTAAGCTTGCCTCAGACTACCGCGCGCCGCCCTGCGCCTCGGCGCCCGACAGACCGACCGAACGCCGAAGTCGAACAGTCGTCGCTCTGTCTCTCTCGCTCTCCCAAAGGAACGCCCCAAGAAAGTGAGAGAGACAGAGCGTCGGCGAGCTCCTCTAATTGTCGGCGGGGGAGGGAGGAGGGAGGGGTGGCTTCCCTTCGCGGCAACAATGTCGAAGACTCTCATCATAGCCTGCTTGGCTTGGCCTGCTCGGAACGCCGGGCGGCGGGCGAAATTGGACTCGCTCACGCAGGGGGCCGTTCACATGAGATGGTCTACATCCACACCCTGACCTAACCTAGCCAACCCAACCTAACCTATCTAGCGAATGCCGTCAGCGTGCGCAACGTGAGTGAGGCGGAGAGGCAGCAGCGCTCGGTGCGCAGAGGTGAGCGCATACTGTATAGTGTAGCGGTCGGGATTAAAAACCGCACCGCGGCCAAGAAAAAAGACAACGCGATAACGCACCGCCTTCGCGGCTTCGCTGCCTCGCGGCCGCCCATGTGGGCTGCTCGATATCTACTATTGACTCACTGTCACTGGCCGTGCGTGCGTGCGTGCGTGCGTGTGTGTGGTGTGTGTGTGTGTGTGTGTGTGTGTGTGTGTCTGTGAGCGCGTGCGCTGTGTCTGTGTGAGTGCGTGGATGTGAGAATGTGTATTTGCAAGTATTTACGGCCTGCAATGATACGATTGGGAATCGCCCTCGATCATTTTCCAGGCAGGCTGTGCTTCGCTGTGCCTCGCTGTGCCTCGCTGTGCCTCGCTGTGCTTGCTTTGGCGCCCCGGCCGCGCCGCGCCTCGCCTTGTGTGTTGTGTGTGGGGATCGGGGATTTTATGGGCCAATCATGGCGAGGCTTGTGGATGGGGTGACGGTACCGCGGTACTACCACTGCACTGTACACTGTACACTGTGCGCATCTGGCCTGTGCGCTGAAGGTCCTGCACGGATACTCGCCTCAATCCAAAAAGGAACTTCTCAGAGGCCTTTTCAAATTTTTACGAGCAGTCCCTTTAACGTAGACTACCTGATTCCGAATGGCGTCCTCCCAGCCCAGTCCTCCTAAAACACCCCAACCGCTGGCTGCCTGGCCGCCCGGCTGCCTTGCCCGGCTGCCCCCCGGGGCGACAGCGCCGGTTATTGAAACGGAACGTGCCACCCGTAATGCTTATACGGCGAGCGAAAGCGCACAACGCGTGTAAATATGGGTTTTGAAGGATGCAGCGCTTTGCTCCGATTACGTTCAATTAAGTCAAGCGCCATAAAAATTCCCACGCGGCCAGGCGGTTAGACCGCGCGGGGCGGGCTGCACGAGCGGCACGAGGCGGCACAGCGCGGCACAGCGCGCGTAGCACGGGACTCCTTGCCAGGCCGTGTCACGCCAGGCCGTGCCTTGGCGCCTTGGCACTGGGACGGCCTTTGAACGCCGCGACGCCGTTCCAGAAGCCCTCCATGTTGGCAGCAGTGCAGGCACACTGGCTGGACGCCGGCTCGCGCCCCGCGTGCCCCCTAACCCTGACCCTGCCTGTCCCGTCACCATTGTCCCGACTGTCCCCGCTCGGCGCCGCCCCGAGACGCCCGTCTGACTGAGAGTCGTTTTCGTCGCTCTGTCCCTCTCGCACCCAGGGGGGACGCCAAATGAGTGGGAGAGAGACAGAGCGAATCAGTCTCACAGCGGTCGCCGCGAACATGAACTCGAGCGGCAAATTGCGGGGCACGACGGCGACGTGCTTTACGCCGGGAAAAACGGTTCACTGCGTTTACGCTCCGCGCGCCCCCTAGCGGCGCGGCGGTGCACATCTGCATGCCGCCGGCCACCGCCGCACAGTGGGCCAGAAGACCGGTGGAGCGGCCAAAATCCGAGACGCGTTTTGAGCTCTGGAGTCGCTAAATGGGACTCGAACCGAACGTGTTACCCCACCAATGGATTCTCCGTTCGGGAGAGCAATCCATTGGTGGGGTCACACGTTCAGTTCGAGTCCCATTTAGCGACTCTGGAGCTCAAAACGCGTCTAGAATTTTGGCCGCCTCCACCGGTCTTCTGCCCCACTGTGCGCCGTGCGACAAGACGTGGCTGGATGGAATGCACCCTTCACCGCGTCCTTCGCGACGACGACGCCCGACGCCGTCCGCCTCCATGGACCCCAGCAACTCCAGGCGCTCCAGCTCCAGGCCTGGCGCGCCGCGCGCCGGGGGCCGCCCGTCCGGCCGGAGTGGCTGATGGGTTGCCGACGGCCGGGCGGCGAGCCGCGCCGGTTGGGGTGCCTACCTCGCCGGTGCTCCAGTGGAGCGGGAGAGAGAGGGGGAGACTGTCAGACAGACACAGGTATCCACTGCCAGAGAGCCGGCTTGCGATGACTCGGCTTACGAATTCAAGACCTTCGTCACCGTTTCGACTTGCATTCGGCAGCAGCACTGCTTCTAAACCGAGTCGGGTAATCGTCCACCCAAGCGAGGACATGCAAAAGTTCAAGTCCAAGCCAAGGGGTACCCAACTCAAGATAATCATTGCACGTCTAGTTGGTAATCAGTGAAATAATCAACATCATCCAATGAAATGACAATCATACTTTCGGGGATTCAATCACTTTTGACCATTTTTGCGAGACCACTGCTCTCTAACTATCAGCGGTCAAAGCCTTCCCGAGGCAGGGCATGAAAGAGTAGGGTCTTTAGAATAGTAAGGCGTCGAGGGAGGCCTTTGACCGCAACTAAATTGGATGCAGTGACCGCTCAAAGTCAGCAAAAACGGTAATTTTCTGAAATTCATTCACTGATTGACTATTTTTGCGAGACCACTGCTCCCAAATTATCAGCGGTCAAAGCCTTCCCGAGGCGGGGCATGAAAGAGTAGGGTCTTCAGAATAGTAAGGCGTCGAGGAAGGCCTATGACCGCGACTAAATTTGACGCAGTGGCTGCCCAAAGTCACCAATATTGAATTTCCGTCACTTTCACAGCTTTCCGAGGTCGGCGCTCAAATAACCCCCAATATTTCCCAATAATCAACATTATAACCTCCTATAATCAGTGATAAATAATAAAATAATCAAAAGAAATCACATGTAGTCATACTCGAAATATAATCAGTGTACATGAAAATCTTGAGTTGGTTACCCCTCGGTCCAAGCTCAAGTTAGGGGTGCCAACTCACAGTCCGGGGTTACCGCAGACACTCGATATCACCAGGGCTTGCCTACTGCCCACACCGCGCCACCACTCGACTCTGCCGCCAGCGTCCGGGGAGGCTCAACCCCCTCAACCTCAAAGACTGGCGCATGCACACACGGGCACGGTGTCATGGTGGTACGGCGCCGCCCTTGCCCCTGACAGTTCTCTCGCGGCTCTGTTTGAATGTAGGTCAACCAACGCCTCCGCCTGCCCTCGCCATACTCTGCGGTCATGATACGGTCTTGGAGACACCTGTTCCCCCCTCCCCCTCCCCCGCGCCGCCTTCGGCCTCGGCCAAGGTGAAGGGATGCTCCGCGGATACACTATTAGGGAACCGGGTCGCGACGTCTCGCATGCACGCATCTACACTCTGTCGGCACGCACTCGCAACTGGACTTCAAACGCGCTTAGAAGAGCGAGCCCTGCTGAGGCTAGGGCGGCGGCCCTGGAGAGGTGTCACTTTCTTTGATGGGAAAATGATGATGTGGTATGTATCAGGGCCTTGCTTCTCAGGTGGCTTGAACTTGGTTTGCTGCTGTAGTTTACGCACGCGCTATGTGATCGTGCCCAGTGCACGTGTTGTAAAACAAGCACTGGTTTAGAGAATAGGGGAGCGATCCTTGGCCCTTCGCCAAAGCAGGCAAAACAGGGAATCAGCCCTCTAAATTAACAGGGAACGTCCTTGTTTTTGCTTTCCACGCGACTTTAACCGGTGTAAGTTCATCAAGAGTGATTTTTTTTAGCGAGTAACAACCGCCAGGAACGAGTCTGTGACAATGTCACATCTACAAGACCATCCATTAACTGCCTGCTAGGACCTCTGCTCTCCACGCCCGGACTGGCGACTGGTTTAGGGTAGCGAGAGAAATGGGAAGCAAAGTCGGAGAGGGTGCTCTCGCGGGCGAGAGAGAGACGGAGGAAGGGAGTGGGGAGTGGGAGTGGCGGCTCGTCGGGCCCTGCCTTCCACATTGGCGGTGCCGCGGTGCCGCCTCGCTGCCTTGCCCCGCGACACGCGGTCGGCCCCGGCCGGCACGCCGCAGCCCCGCGGCCCCGCGGCCCAGGCCAGTCTGTGATTGTAGTTGCTGCAGTGCTGAGCGCGGCCCGGATTACCTGCCCGACGTCCGAGCCGTGGCGCGCCACAGCCAGCTACATCAGCTCGACGACCAGCAGCACCCGGCAGCACCGCACGCCCTCCACTGCACCGTGCACTACAGGTGAGCCGAGCACGCCCACTGGGCATGGCTCCCAAGAGTACAGTGTGCACGTCGAGGCGGGACGCAGCCGTAAACAGTTTGGGCAGTTCTAACGAAAGAGGTTCCGGCCAGCAAGTTCAGGTCAATCTGCGATCATCAGCCAAGGAGAAAAGTCATCGGGATGGCGAACGTTTTGGTTTCAAGTGTGCCAGCGGATGAGCCAATTCGGAGGTCGGTTTTCTCCTTCCGTTCCCTCTCGGCGCCCCTGAACCAGTGTACGCCCCGAGGGTCTCGCAGTGCTACGCAGTGCCCAAGGCCAAAGCCTCGGCCAAAGGCGCCGCGCAGACCTGCGCAGACCGCACCCCGGACGTTTTAAGTACCCAGTGCCAGCCTGACCCGTTTCTGATGATGAAGTTGGCCAGCCTTTTCCAGCGCCTTGAAAAGTGAGGCACGGCGTGATCAGTGCCCCCAAGTTTAGACGCTATCTGCACAGCGCTGCCAACCTGGCGCACTGGCCAGCGAGAGTGCATGTTAATTGGTGGGGACAGTGCGTCGCGGTGCGTGTGGCCGGGCATCGCTGGACACGGAGCACTCGCCGACACGCTGACACAAGGCCTTTTCTTCCCGTCAAATTTTTAAAATATTTCTATCCTCCACCCCCTTTTTTTGCCGAGTCTTAAACGCGTGTGGCAATAATAACACCTGTTGCCACACGCACGTGCTTTGGGGGTGGCGGCGCTGGTCGTTGCACTTATAGGGGAGCAGCCGTTCCAGTCCCGGTGGCGAGGCTGTCGAGGCCGATGAGGACCTGTTTGGCCCCGGTGCAGTGGCAGTGCAGTGGCAGTGCAGTGGCAGTGCACTCAGCTACCTCGCGTGCCTGTTGCAATAATACCAACGTGTTCGGCCGGTACTGCAGCTGGAAGACAGATTCCCGACAGTGCTCCCTGCAGGGGTGGATCCAGGGAGAGGGGAAGGGGCGATGGGGGCGTGGCACAGTGGGCCAGAAGACCGGTGGAGGCGGCCAAAACTCTTGACACGCTTTGAGCTCCGAACCGAACGTGTGACCCGACCAATGGATTCCTCGTTCGGAGAGCAATGCATTGGTGGGGTCACACGCTTGGTTCGAGTCCCCTTTAGTGACTCTGGAGCTCAAAACGCGTCTCCACTGGTCTTCTGGCCCACTGTGCGTGGCCCCCCTCTGAGGCCGTCGAAATTTCCCTGCCAAACAAAGTTGATCACCTGGACAAAGTCTTTCCTCCGTTCGGCCCACGAGTGCGAGAGAGACAGAGCGACCGAGAGTAGTGCTGCCCGGAATCCATCCAGCAGAACGACGGCGGCTCGCGACGAAAACAGAATTATTTTTGGCGTGTCGCCGCTGCGCCGCCCGCTGCATCCTCGCTCGCGGTCTGTTGTCAAAGTTTGCCGGCACGGCGGTGTCCTGCCGTCCTGATCCTGGGAGTCGCCGTCGTCGCTCTGTCTCTCTCGCACCCGCACAGCACGCCCCGTGAGTGCGAGTGAGACAGCGCGACGAAGACGGCTCTCGGAGTCACAGTGTGCCGGGACTCCTGGGAGAGCCGCGCCGCCGCGCAGCGCGAGCCGTCACATTATTTCCGCGTCTCGTTCCGTCCGTCGCGTCCGCGTCCGAAAGCCGGACTGTGACACGCTGGCTTTGCCCTAGCAGTGGCGTGTCCCACGCGCCGCCCGGGCCGTTCGGACGCAGCCCGGCCGAGTGGGCAGCGCGGCAGCGCGAGTGTTTGGCGAACGCGGTGCAGGCTGCAAAGACTGCAAAGACTGCAAAGGCTGAAAGACGCGCCACAGTGGGCCAGAAGACCGGTGGAGGCGGCCAAAACTCCAGACGCGTTTTGAGCTCCAGAGTCGCTAAACAGGACTCGAACCGAACGTGTGACCCCACCAATGGATTGCTCTTCGAACGAGGAATCCATTGGTGGGGTCACACGTTCGGTTCGAGTCCCATTTAGCGACTTTGGAGCTCAAAACGCGTCGAGAGTTTCGGCCGCCTCCACCGGTCTTCTGGCCCACTGTGCGCGCCGGCTTACTGCTTGCCTTCCTTCTGCACAGCGATTCCGTGTGGCGTTTCGTCGTCGCTCTGCCTCTCTCGCACCTGCGAGTTGGAGAGAGACGTCGCGACTTCCAAAGCAGCCTGCAGGAGTGACGCGCCCAAGCCCGTGACCACCATGAGGCACGACGTCACAGTTTGGTCTGAGCCATTCGTAGAGACACCCGCGGGTCTACTAATAGACCCTTTTTGCGGTTTTGGCCGAAAATTCGCGCACGAACCCAACGCCTGGATTTGAAATCCGCTGCTGGGGCGACCCAGATTGCCACTCCTGGTCGACTGATCGTAAAACGTGCGTTAAGTTGGAAACACTCAGGTGTCGCTGCTAACGCCGCCAGGTTGCGTCAGTTTGCTGTGCACTCCGCCAAACACTCGCCGCCGTGAGTGCGCCCGCAGGCTTGCAAAAGAGAACAAAATCATCTTACGACATAATGACATTTTAATACTGAAATTGGACATCAAACGTTGCTGATCCAAAAATTTTCTAATCTTTTGGCGGATTTTTCATTTTCGAATGGAATTGAATGAGGGCCAGTTCGTTTCCTAAACATCCGCGCGTCTCTAAGTGCCAAAGCGGGCCGCCGCTTCGCCGCGAGGAGACTGACCGGTAGAAAATGGGCAGACCGGCTCGGCCCGCTTCGCCTTCGTCCGCCTGCAGACTGACTCCGAGAGTGGTTTTCGTCGCTCTGTCTCTCTCGCACCTGAACGGGACGCCCCATGAGTGCGAGAGAGACAGAGCGAAATGACTGTCGGAATCGGTGCGTGGTGTCGTGTGACGCTGGACCGTTTGGCGAGGAAAAAACTAAAACTCATCTGAGTTCAGAGTCCGGGGCACGGCCAGTGGCCAGGCACCGCGCCGCGCGCCGCCGGGAGGTCCGCGTGTGCGTTGAACCCCGAACCCCGAACCGTGCGGTGCGCGGCCTGCGCGGCCGGGTCGGAGGAATGGCCGAAACCCATCGCTGGAGACCGTGCTGGCGGCATGCGCAGGCGACTATCTGCAGTGTAGGCGACACTGACGCGGCACAGAGCACGGCGGAGTGCACGGCGGAGAGCTCCGCGAAGGCGAAGACGCGAAGACGAAGACGACGACGACGACGCCCCGGCACGGCCTTCGGACACCTTACCTTCTGCCCACGGCCATTTGGTCATTGCCACGGCCGGCGAAACTCGTTTGCCGACGCGTCCTTGAGGCAGGGCAGGGCGAAGCCAGGCGAACCTAGGCGGAGCGGGCCCCACCGTCCCGCGCCACGCTCGCCGCGCCACCGCCCCGCCGTGCCCGTCCCGCGGGACGCGTCCGCGACGGCAGGGTCCCCGGGGTTCACGAGGAACGACGGCGCCGGGAAAGGTCACAGTGCGTCGCGCGGCCTCATCCGAAAAAATAAATTCAGGGTCTGGGACAGCGTTGAGGTTTCCGTCATCGCGACGGCAGTGCGACAGCGGCGACAGCCCGGATGCGCCCCGGTTCGAGTGGAGCAGCGCGACCGGCCGAGCCCAGCCGACTGCGTCCTAACGGAGCCGAGCCGAGCCAATCCGCTGCGGTGTGCGAGGCACTGTGCGTGGCACTGTGCGTGCCGCGTGCGCCGGCGCGGCGTGGCGGCGCCAAAGCGTCGCAAGCCGCAAAGTAGCCCGGCGTCACCGCGGCCTTCCCCCCGGCTCCAGGATGACGCCCGCCACGGCCACGGCCGCATCGGAAGCTCCAATTGCATCGCGTCGCTCGTACCGCAAGCAAAATGGCACGCATCGAACGGCGCGTCGACGGCGGCCTGGCGACAATTAGCTCGCTACACTGTGGCACCGGCACTTTCACCCACCAGCGGGCCGAGCGGGCCGCACGGGCGCCACCGCCGCCACCGCATTCCGGCAGCACCGACGGGGCGTGTCGCTCTGTCTCCCTCGCACCCTGACGGCCAGCCTGACGGCCAGCCTGACGGCCAGCCTGACGGCCAGCCTGACGGCCAGCCTGACGGCCAGCCTGACGGCCAGCCTGACGGCCAGCCTGACGGCCACCCTGACGGCCAGCCTGACGGCCAGCCTGACGGCCAGCCTGACGGCCAGCCTGACGGCCACCCTGACGGCCAGCCTGACGGCCAGCCTGACGGCCAGCCTGACGGCCAGCCTGACGGCCACCTGACGGCCAGCCTGACGGCCAGCCTGACGGCCAGCCTGACGGCCAGCCTGACGGCCAGCCTGACGGCCAGCCTGACGGCCAGCCTGACGGCCAGCCTGACGGCCAGCCTGACGGCCAGCCTGACGGCCAGAGCCCTGACGGCCAGCCTGACGGCCAGCCTGACGGCCAGCCTGACGGCCAGCCTGACGGCCAGCCTGACGGCCAGCCTGACGGCCAGCCTGACGGCCAGCCTGACGGCCAGCCTGACGGCCAGCCTGACGGCCAGCCTGACGGCCAGCCTGACGGCCAGCCTGACGGCCAGCCTGACGGCCAGCCTGACGGCCAGCCTGACGGCCAGCCTGACGGCCAGCCTGACGGCCAGCCTGACGGCCAGCCTGACGGCCAGCCTGACGGCCACCTGACGGCCAGCCTGACGGCCAGCCTGACGGCCAGCCTGACGGCCAGCCTGACGGCCAGCCTGACGGCCAGCCTGACGGCCAGCCTGACGGCCAGCCTGACGGCCAGCCTGACGGCCAGCCTGACGGCCAGCCTGACGGCCAGCCTGACGGCCAGCCTGACGGCCAGCCCCATGAGCGAGACAGAGACAGAGCGACACGACTCTCTGCTGGATCGCTCGGCAGTCCGCCTCGAAGAAAGGGAAAGAAAGAGGATCACCTTGCGCGGGGTGTCAACATGCGAGGTCTCGTGCAGCCCATTACAGACTCACTTTTTCCTCATTAATGCTGAGTATTTTTTTTTTAAGTCGGTATGACCAATTTACTTCGTAACTTTATCCAGAAAAACGGGGTTTTTCCCCGTCGGTTCTCCTGTGAGTGCACCGCACCGAGTGCACTGAGAAAATTTGTTGTCACTTTATGACAAAAACGTGGATGACATTTTCATCACTTTGAAGTGATGACAATCTCGTCACAAATTGATGACATTTTCATCAAAGCTCCTATACTTATTGCATGGGCGTGACAACAATGTCATAAATTGACTTGATGACATCCTTGTAAGGAAAATTAGCCTTGAAATTGTCATCAAGTGATGACTCAAATTTTCACAGTGTGCACCACCCTGACGACGTAACCGAATTCGAGGTCTGTGCGAGGCTAGCCGCATGCCGTGCGCGCCCATCACGCTTCAGTGCGCGGTGTCACATTGGCTCGGCCGAGGCCTGGCCCTCCGATTAGGCAAACTCCGCCGGAAGCGATGTTGCACCGCCTCGCCTTGGAAGAAGACAACCGAAGAAAGCAGTTGTTACGTTCTTTCCAATGTGTGTTTTTATTTCTTTTTTTTTGGCCTTGCAGAATGTCGTTGGACCCACCCACGCCGGAGCAGCTCAAGCTGATGCGGCAAGAGCTGTACCAGGACCCGCAGATCACCAAGGAGGACGTCAAACGGCTGCGCGAATGGCTACAGAAGCAGCCCCACCTCCCCAGCCACATGGGTAAACAGAAAAATTTATTACCTTTTTCCATTAATTATCGAGACTTGTGTGTACGTATTCGCCTATCGCAGAACGACAGCGCGCCTCCGGGCAGGTTGTTTTCCAGTCTCATCAACCCTCTTCGTTTTTCGTATGTTGGTTCGGGACGCGGACCGCCGATCAAAAACAAAGAAAAATTACTTTTCTTTTTCTATTCTTCTTCTCGTTTTCGTTTTCATACGCGACACGTCAACGAGATCCCATTATTTTTTTGCTCGCCTCTTCTGGCCGATATATAGGATCACGTACTTTCTCCTCCCAGACACGCGACACACCGCTACAGGGCTGGGACCATTATAATCCTGCTATCCAAATGGCGTTGCAAAACGGCAATGCACGGCTGCACGGCCACACAGTACAGCGGCACGCACTCCAAGCGAACCATTTCGTTAAGTGTGTGTATGTGACTGTGTGAGATTTTGTGTGTGTGTGTGTGTGTGTGTGTGTGTGTGTGTGTGTGTGTGTGTGTGTGTGTGTGTGTGTGTGTGTGTGTGTGTGTGTGTGTGTGTGTGTGTGTGTGTGTGTGTGTGTGTCTCTGCGCGCGCGCGCGCTGACAGGTTCACACCTCGGTGATGAACTTTGCACTTTGCCACTTTGTCGCGACTTCGGTCCTAGCTGTGGTCAACTAATGGTTACCGAAGCCGTCATTTCGATTTCCAGAGGACGAGCGGCTGGAGCGCTTCCTGTACGGCTGCAAGTTCTCGCTGGAGCGCACCAAGCAGGTCCTGGACACGTACTACCGCGTGCGCGCCACCGCCCCCGAGTTCTTCAGCGGCAGGGACCCCACGTCGGAGGAGCTGCAGCGCAACTGCAGGGACATGTGAGTGCAAACGGGAAGGCATCAAGCCTCGGGGCGAGTAAGGGAAGGACAGTCTCTCTCCCCCCTTCCCCCCCTCTCTCTCTTTCTCACCTGTCCTCGGTGTGGTCCCCGCGGTCCAGGGTCCAGGTGGGCCATGGGGGGCCGCGGCCGCGGGGGGACCCGAAGTGATCTGCCGCGCCACGCCATGCCACGCCATGCCACGCCACGCCATGCCATGCCACGCCATGCCAGGCCATGCCACGCCATGCCACGCCAGGCCATGCCACGCCATGCCACGCCATGCCACGCCATGCCACGCCATGCCGTCGGAAGGTCGATGGCCGTGCGACTCGACTTCATCGTTTCGCCGCGTTTCGCCGCGTTCTGCCGAGCGGCAGGAGAAAGAGTGAGAAAGATAGAGAGAGAGAATGGGAAAGAGAGGGAAAGAGATCGCCTCCTTCCGGGCGCTTCGCGCTTCGGGCGGCGTTTGGCTTGGAGGCGTCTAGTCTGCGGTGTCGCCCGGCCTAGCCCGGCCCAGCCCAGCTTCGACAAGGGCTAGGGCGAGGCCGCGGAGGACGAGGACGCCGCCAGCCGCCACCGCAGGCACTGCGCGCAGACTTCCGCCTCCCCCTCCCCCTGCGGAAGGGAAGCCTGTCTTCTTCATGAAAACGGAAAGCAAAACTTGGGATGACAATTTTAAGAAATGGTTCGTAGAAACGATTCACCCGGACGGGGTGTCGAACCGTCGACCGTGCCCGTCGGAGTCTGGCCCTCTTAGCCACTGAGTTACACGTGTCTCGCTGCGGTGAGGCGCTGACATCATCACTCTCGCTCTGTCGCGCTCGGACTGTGACGTCAACGCGACGCTCCGCGCTTCGCGGTTTGGTTTTCAGGACCGAGGATCTTTCTGTTCACGGCCAAACCGGCAGGCCAGCGGGGAAATGCCGGAAAACACGGCGAAGCCGATTTCTATTTTTACTATTTTTGATTCGCGCAGGTCGTACTTCGTGCTCCCCAAGCTGACCACCGAGGGCTACCGCGTCACCATCTTCCGGCTAAACAACGTCGAGGTGGACAAGTTCAACATGCAGGAGATCACCAAGCGCGTCGTCATGTGCTTGGACGTGAGGCTCAAGGAGGAGAAGTGCCTCTCCAACATCATGATCATCGACTTCCAGGTGGGACTTGAGCTACGCCACGCGCAGCGGGCGAGAAAACCGGCGGAGGCGGCGAAAATCCCGCACGTGTTGTGAGCTCCAGAGTCGCTAAATGGGACTCGAAGCCAACGCGTGACCCCACCAATGGATTCCTCGTTCGGAGAGCAATCCATTGGTGGGGACATACGTTCAGTTCGGGTCTCATTTAGCGACTCTGGAGCTCAAAACGCGTCTAGAGTTTTGTCCACTTCCACCGGTCCTCTGGCCCACTGTGCCACGGCCGCGGCGTGGCATGTTGCGGATAACGTGTTCTGTGTTGCAGAACTTCACCCTGCAGCACTTCGCGCGCTGCTCCCCGACCCTGGCCGGCGTGCGGAAGTCCATGCTGTGCGTGCAGGACGCCTTTCCGCTGCGCCTGCACCAGGTGAGTGCGCCGAGGGCGCCGAGTGCGCGAGGGGGTGGACGTGGTGGCGAAGCATGGCCAAGACGGGGTTGGGGAAGGAGGCGAGGCTGGCGGTACGACCACGTGTGGTCTGGCCCTTAGTGGTAATGGTAATGGTGTGAGCGCCCGGCCGGCCGCAGGCTGGCAACCCAAGCGGCGCGCAAGTCGAATGGGCTGCCTACCCTCGGCCGCGCGGCGCTCCACGCGCGGCACCGCCCGGACCGCCGCACGGTGGGCCAGAAGACCGGTGGAGGCGGTCAAAACTCTGGACGCGTTTTGAGCTCCAGAGTCGCTAAACAAGTCTCGAACCGAACGTGCGACCCCACCAATGGATTCCTCGTTCGGAGAGCAATCCATTGGTGGGGTCACACGTTCGGTTCGAGTCCCATTTAGCGACTCTGGAGCTCAAAACGCGTCTAGAGTTTTGGCCGCCTCCACCGGTCTTCTGGCCCACTGTGCGCCGCCTGCCTCATGGTCCGCGGCGTCGTGGAGGTTCTCGTTGTTCTTGTCGTTCTCGAGGGCAATCCAGTGACTCTCCCGCCGCAGGTCCACTTCACCAACTGCAGCACCTTCGTGGACAAGGTGGCCGCCGCCTTCACGCCGCTCCTCAAGGAGAAGCTCGTCAAGAAGGTAATGGTTCTAGGTTCCAGGAGCAGGCCGAACGGGCGACGGGCCATTCTAGCTCTTTTGAAGTTCTGGACTGACGACTTACCCCACCCACGCTCCCTTTCCAGTTCTTCTTCCACTCCAACCTCGAGAAGCTGCACCGCTACGTCAACAAAGACATCCTCCCCGAGGAGTACGGTGGCAAGGCGGGCACGTTCCTAGAGCTCAATGGTTTGTACAAGTACAATTTTTTTTAGTATAAAAGTTTTCGAAAAACAGTTTGAAAATTGAAAAAATTTGAGAAATGAAATTACTTTTAAAAAGTTTCCTGTGAACTGAGGCTGTTTTCGCCCCTGTTGCAGACGCGTGGAGGCGCAAGCTGGAGTCCTACAAGAAGTGGTTCCAGGAGGAGGAGAAGGTGAGCAAGTCGGACGAGACCAAGAGGCTGAAGAAGCTCAAGGAGTCCTCCGTGCTCATCCAGGACACCTCGGTGGAAGGATCCTTCCGGAAACTGGTCATCGATTGACCGCATCAGACTGACATCAAGACGACCACCAGCATGTTGGGCTTCGGCGCGGCCGGGAGGCGTAGTCACGTGCTAACATTGTGTGTGTGTATGTATGTATGTGTGTGTGTGTGTGGATCTGCGTGTGTGTGTATGTGTGGGTGCTTGAGTGTGCATGCGGACGCGAGAGTTCATTTCGGCGGGGGCGACATGGACTGACGACCAGGAGGCCGAGCCGGGCTGCATCGCAGCAGCAGCAGCGACACCTCATATGTGATAGTAGTAATTTTATTAAATAATTATGTACAGCATGACGACCATGTGCATTATATGGACTAAATATAATCAAAATATTTCAAAAAACATTTGCGTGGATGGTGCCGAGAACATTTCTTTATCCGACAGTGACCCAAAGGTACGACGCTCTGACCGCAGTGCGGCAGCAGACTTATTCAGAGAGACGCTTTCATCGCTCTGTCTCTCCCGCACTCACAGGGCGTCTCGTATAGGAGCGAGACAGACTGCGACGAACGCGACCCTCGGAATCCGTCTGCGGTGCCCACGAGCGGCCAGCCGCGCGGTGTACACTGCACACGGGCGTACGCACTCGAAGGCAGTGGCGGGGCGTAGCGAGGCGAGGGGGAGGGGGAGGGGGACGTAGGGCGGACGGGCCGGCGCGACCGCCTCATCTCTCTGAGACACTGCAGGCGGGCGAAATTGAACGCGCCCGCTTAACCCCACCGCGCCCCTCCCCTCCCTCGTCACTCCCCTCCCCCTCCCGTGCATGGTGATTATTCTACCCTCCCCAATTGAACCCGGCGAGAGGCCCGAGAGGGGCGAGGAATGGGGCGAGGCGAGGCACCCTACCCTCTGCTCGCCGCGCTCCGCCGCTAGCCCCGCCCCCTCCAGCCCCTCGGCCACTTTACGGCGCGGAGCCTCCCTCCCCTCCCCTCCCCTCCCCTCCCCTCCCCTCCCCTGCCTCTGTTTCAAAGCAATCGGCTGGTTTACATTGAGAGCGTCAGCAGCTTACCCGACCACCAGACCGGTCACGGTGGCGAGATAGAGAGAAAGAGAGAGAGAGAGTACCGACGAGTCCAAAAGTCGCGCCGCGGGCCGCGTCGCCGCGTCGCGGTGGGTTGGAGCGAAGATCCACGCGGCAGACTTGTTGGCGACGCGGAAGGAAAGGTGTGACTCCGCGGGCAGCGCTCTGCTTCGCGCTCTTCTCGGCCAGCACGGCAACACGGCCGTCAACAAACAAGAGCACGGGCAGCGGCAAACGACCGCAGAGACCCACCCCCTCGCCCTACACGCGCCGGGCAGCCCCGCCCCGCCCCGCCAGCACAGCCGCACCGACAAACAAGCTTTCCCAGAAATGAAACGTGGAAATCAAGAGATCACAACTCGGCCGCCGCTGCCGCCGCCCCGTCTCCGTTGTGTCTTCTTTGCTGGGGGCGGCTCGGCTGCCGTGCCGTCTCGAGGCGCGCGTGGCCGCGCCCCGCCCCGCCCCGCCCCGCCCCGCCCCGCCCCGCCCCGCCCCTCGCAGCGCCCTCCGGAATGCTCCCGTTTGGGGTCACAAAAGTTGGCGAGGCGAAGCCGGGCGGACGGGCCGCGGGGGCGGGGCGGGGGTTAAAAGTTATGAAGACACTATGCGCGCCGCCCCAGATGAGATCGATAACCAGCGCCTTGTAATCGATTCGCGGTAGTTCCTTCGAGGCGTCGCTGCAAAGTGGGGGACGCTGCTAAAAATAGCAGGCAGTTTTGCGACCCGAAAAGGCGGCCCAAACCAGAAGCTTGCCCTTTTTTCCCGAGAGGAAATCCTTTTCTTATTTGAGACATCTGCGGAAACTGCGAGCCTCGGATCATGGCCGGATGGACGTGGTCCAACACAAGAGCAAACAACACACGCACACACACTCACACACACCTACACTCGGCCATCCGTCGGCGCGTCAAGGACCCGTGACATTGTCACTGTCAGCACACCAGTCGTCCTGCAATGTTTGATTACACAGCCTCAGCAGGGCTGCGTTCGCAGGGGGTCCGCCCGGAGGCGGCTGCTCTACTTCGCAGTGCAGGGGGCTGCGTCCGCGGCGGCGCCCTCCTCGTCCTGGTCGTCCTGGTCTCGGGGACGGCGGCACAATCGCGACAAGGGCACCGCAAAAGGCCGCCGCAAAGGCCGCCGCCGTGCTCCGCCCCGCCCCCGTCGAGGTCCCCATCGAGGTCGAAAGGACTGCCGGCCGTCGGCACACTGCACGGCACACGGCACGCCAACTTTGAAGTGGCTCACTCAATTTGCTCGGCAGGACGCGCGGCCTTGTCGCGCCCGGACCTCGTCACCTCTGCCTCTGTCTCTCTCGCACCCGCACGCGGCGCGCCGTGGGTGCGAGAGAGACAGAGCGACGAGGGCGCGCCGTTCAAAGTCAGCCCTCTGGCTTCGCAGGGGTCCTGGCAGCCCGAACTGACGCCCCGCCCCGCCGCCCCGCCCCGCCGCCCCGCCCCGCCGCCCCGCCCCGCCGCCCCGCCCCCGTGGGCCACTCCAGTGCACCGGAATCCAGTGGGGCTGCCCGTGCAGTTGGCGCGCGATTTTGACATCAGATTGAAGAAAGGAACAGATTTCACCGCCGCATGCAGCTAGGAAAATCGTGACAGACTGATGTTACTTGTGGCCCTTGCTGGTGCCCGTTCATGCCCCGCCTCGGGAACAAGGCCCGGACCGATTACAGAGAGAACCGGCCACGCAAAGTTGGTAAAACATCGACAAGTCTCTGAAAACTTCAAATTTCGTCGAATTTAGCCTATAGGCCCTCCGCACAAAACTAAATGAAGATGACTGCAATCTAATAGAGATGAAGCATAAAGTGCGAAACCTCTTGCACCTTCGCGATGATGACAAGAGGACCCTTCCGAGTAAACAAATATCCGCGTCCCAGGCGGCTGCCAGTGTGCCAGTGCCAGGCGGCTGCCGGCTGCCCGTTTGTACGAGAGGACAGCCATGAAATGGGATTACTCGGCGCGTCACCGGGAGTCAGCCTGTCGAGCCATTGAGCGGACCGGCTTAGGGGAGGACGTCAATAGCCTATCCGCCTAGCCTAGCGACTAGCCTAGCGACTAGCCGTGTCGGATGTAACGTCTTTATAAGGAGAGTTGCCTTTTTAGCGGATAGATTGCGGGCAGTGCAAAGAGCGGGGAAGGGATGAAATTTCCGCGATCAACATCAAGATTATGAAAATTTGATACATTTACCCATACGAACATAGTTTTCTTGATTTTTGAGGACAAAGACAATTTAAAATTCCATCAGTTGTACGGACGTATGCGTCTCGAGAAAAATGTGAAAAATTGTAATTTGAATCAAATTGCGAAAAAACCGGAGGGAACCGAAAAATCTGCCCTTGGCGGAGGTTTGTGTCACACAAAGGTGCGCTATCGAATGCAGCCGGTGCATCAGGTGGTGCACTCACGCCCAAGCCTGCCCGGCCTGGCCCGGCCCGGCCCGGCCCGCACCCCCGCGGGGCCAAACCCTCTGAGGTGTCCCCAGGGGACCGCCGACGCGCGGCGCGCACCTGACGACGCCGCCGGCCCCGTCAGGGCCCCGCCCCGATCCTCCCACGCCAAATTGAATATTTCCCCACGTCTCTTCGTCCCGGGTGACGCGGTGACGCGGCGTGTGACGCGGCGACACGACGAGTGACACGGGAAGGTGGAGCCGCGTCAGAGGGAAGGCGACGGTGTCTTCGCAGCAAAAAAAAATAAAAAAAAATGAGGGTTTTAACCAACGAATGTTTTGTAGAAAATGAAACTAGTAGTATAAAAACCATAGTGACCAGTGGGCAAGAATTTCCTTAACAATCCAGCGGTGTTGTCGGTTTCTAGGAAACAGCCCAAATCGTGTGGCCATAAAGGCCCCGGGGAGGCCGTAAAAATACCAAATAAGCTTGTTCATCGCCTTTGCGTGTGCGAGCCGCCCGCCCCTCGCAAACCGCGTGATCCAGTTACACTTTCTTCAGGGGACCCATTCTGCGGCCTGACTTGTGCTATTCAGATTCACGCCGGCACCGCCCACCGCCTTGCCGGCCTTGCTGGGGGTGTTGTTGGCCGCGGAGGGCGTCGAGGGGTGGAGGGTCGCCGTCGATGCCCCCAGGCCAGGCCCAGGCCAGGCTCAAGCCAGCCCCAGAGATTCGTCTCGCTCCTCCGTCCGGCTTGTCGGGCTCTGCAATGTTTGCCGATTTCGTCGAAATCCCGCTCCACTGCCAAATCGAAATCGCACCCGAATAGCCATTAGCGGCCGCGCCTCCTTCCTCCTCTCCGCGTCGACGAGTACACTGTAACGCCGTCACCTGCACCGAGCCTGCACCGCCACTGAATGGCCGTGAAATCGGCGCGCAATGCAGGCGCAGGCCTCGCAGGCCGCGGCTCATTGACGGCGAGGTGCGAGTACGACGCCGACCTCCCCTCTCCACCGCCCGGGCCGCCAACGATTAGCCCCCCGGGGCCCCGGGGGACTGCTGCTCCGCTTCCTGTCCGAGGCTCGCTGTCTCTTTCCCCCGCGATTGTCGCTCGGCCTCCTCTCTTTCTTCTCCTTCTACAACTCAGCAACATTTTTACGAGGCCGTCGCCACCGCGGCGCGGCTAACCGCGGCACAGCAGTGTTGCGTTTCCCAGGTCGTTTGTTTCGTGAATGATGACCGGACCGACGACTGTCGATGTGGATGCGTGCGCGGCTTGCAGTGTGCTTGCAGTTTGCCTGCTGCGTGCGCCTCCGCTCCGCCACCGTGAGACCTGCCCGCCAAATCAGAGAGAGATAACGCCGCGCGGGCACGGCCAAGGCGGTCCAAGGAGACTCATGCCGAGGGCCGTTTTCGTCGCTCTGTCTGTCTCACACTCACGGGCCGTCGCGGATTGGTGTGAGAGAGACAGGGTCGGTGTTTCGCCTCCTCTGCCATGCGCCGCGTGCACAATGGGAGCGCAAGGGCTGCCCTCAGATAAGAGTCGCCGAAGGCAAGGCGGAGACAGCCAAGGGCAGTCAAAGGGTCGCCAAAGGGTCGCCAAAGGGTCGCCAAAGGCAAGTCGGAGACAGCCAAGGGCAGTCAAAGGGTCGCCGAAGGCAAGCCGGAGACAGCCAAGCGCAGTCAAAAGGTCGCCAAAGGGTCGCCAAAGGCAAGTCGGAGAAAGCCAAGGGCAGTCAGAGGGTCGCCAAAGGCAAGCCGGAGACAGCCAAGGGCAGTCAGAGGGTCGCCAAAGGGTCGCCAAAGGCAAGTCGGAGACAGCCAAGCGCAGTCAAAAGGCCGCCAAAGGGTCGCCAAAGGCAAGTCGGAGAAAGCAAAGGGCAG